CCACCCCCACCTGGCCCCGAGAATGAAGACTCCTCCACCCAGCCCAGCCACACAGCTTGAAGTGAACACGCTCCCGCAACGAGGACAAGACCCCCCTGGAGCTGGGAATCCCTGCTGCTGGCCGCAGATGCTGGCTGTGAGTCCCGTCCAACCCCAGCCCCCCCCACTCCGTGGTCAGTAGGGCCCTGCCAGTCCGGCTGTGCATTTGGCCGCAGGAATGAAAGAAATGCTGTGAGCAGCGCTTAGGACAGCGGAAGGGAGGTGAGGGCTTCCAGAAGGAGCCCCAGTGACCCCTGCGTGAGGTGTGCTCAGGGGGCCCAGGCTGGAACCACTACTTGCTGCATGGCCTTGGGGACTCCCTTAACCTGTTGGGCCTGGGATTCCAAGTGCGCGGTTGGTGCCTGCGTCCAAGGACTGAGAAGACACACCCGCTGGACGTGGGTCAACTGGAGGGAGGAACGGCGTTGAGATAGAGCAGCAGAGTGTCCGGTCTGGCCTCTCCCTGGCCATCTCTCCAGTCTTTGAGCCCCTCCAGCACTGGCCTCAAGCTGGGTCCTCTCACAGTGGCTCTGTGAGCTGCAGGGACTCCTTCCACGCGGGCTCACTCATTCCTCCTGACAGGAGGGAAAACCGGGGGCCCCCAGATGTGGTAACCTGCCCCAGCCACAACTTGACTCCAGACTCCCCCAAGCCCTGTGTGCTGCGGCTCCATTCTGTGACTGCCCCGCTGGGTGGGAATCAGCCTGGGGGGGTGGTGGTCAGGGAGGGCTTCCTGGAGGAGGGGTCATGTCAGAGCTGAATGATGAAGCGGAGGGTACTGAGAATCCTACTGCATTCTGTCTGGGAGCGCAGGGAGGCAGCAGTGGGAGGATGAAGCAGGCCCCCCGAGATCCCCAGGATTCTAGCCTGACTATATAGGGAGGGTCAAAGCCAGAATGCTGGTGGCCAGTGGCTCCTACACTCTCCCCCTGGGGCTGCCCAGGCTTCAAGGGGGGGACCCTGCCAAGCCTGTGGGCTGTGCACAGGAGCCAGGCCTACCATCCAGGGCTCTAGGGAGGCCCAGCCCAGCTCTTGGTGGGGAAAGAGCAGGAATGACAAGCAGGGCCACCAGCAAGGCCTCCTAGTGAGACAGGTCATGACAGTGTGGTCACGTGTCTACGATGGCTCAGTGCACCCATGTGCTGAGTGAATGGCATTCCTGGGCCCCTCCCGGGATAATTGGCATAAGAGAGATTGATGTCCAGGGCCATGAGGACGCTGAGGCATGGCGAGGGGGCACGTGCCGGCCCACAGGACCTGCTGGCGGTGATGTGTCTGAACAAGTGGCCTCAGGTAAGTCCAATCCTGCCCAGATAAGTCACCTCCACACCTCTTGGCCTCAGTGTCCTGGTCTGCACACGGATGGTGTCCGCAGCCTCTTCCCCTCGGACACGAATGAGGGAGGGTATGCAAGACGCTCACCCCACGCCAGGTGACCGAGAGCTGGGCAGGGCTGGCGACTGGGACAGGTGCCCTGGCTGTGAGGGAGGCCTCTGCCTGGCTGCCCTGGGCCCCAGCTCATCGAACAAATTAACACATTTCCATCAACCTGTTCCCGGCATGTTCTCAGTCTCCCTGGACATCAGTTCACCATCCGCCGCTCAGCATTCTACTGCTTCTATTATTTCAAAACGAGTATAAGGATTAAAAACCAATTATTTCAATTACTGTGCAGAGCCCCGGCAGCCAGTTTAATGGGGTAGGTACTCCCCTAGGAGGGCCTGGGCCAACCCTGCAGCCTCCGGGTAGACAGCAGGTAGCACACGGTGGCCCCAGGATGCCCCCAACCTCAGAGGCCTGCAGCGAAGTGACCCTCCGAGCCCAGGGCCTTGAGAAGGCCGCTCGTTCGCCCCATTCACCTACTTCGAGCCCCGGCTTGAGGTGTCAGCCTCCGCGGATGGTGTTTAGCAGCCCTAACCTGGGGGCCTGGGCGTGAGGACAGGCCTGTGAGCCGTGAAGGATTCTGTCCGCAGGCTGTCCTGTGGTTGGCCTGGCATCCTTGGATGGGGGCCAGGAGCATCCGCGGTAAACCAGCAGCTGGCGTCGGGGGAGGTCAACACGCTCAGCGCCATGTCTTCGGGCTTTAATTAGCTTCCTGCACAGGTCTCGGGGTCCAGGAGACAGAGGCCGAACGTTAACCGCCGCCCCACCCGCCGGCCCAGTCCATCAGGCGTGATCTCAACGAGCCAGCAGGGCCAGTGAGTGGTCAGGGTCGGGAGGGGGGGGGGGCGGGGAGGCAGGCGGGCCCTGAATCCGCTGCCCCGGGCCCAGCACTCCCGCCCCTCCCCGCCCCTCGCCAGCACTGGCTGATGGTGATCTCATCTCTTCCTGGGCTGTAAATATCACCCAAATGCTCCAGACTCCCAAATTGTCCTCCAGCCCGGGCCCCCTCTCCTGAGCTCAGCCCGCACAGCCTACGCTACACCCCCGACCAGATGTCTCCTGGGCCTCGGCAACAAGGGAGGCCGCTCCTCCCTGCATCCCACCTCAGGGACGGGTGCCCCGTGCCGGATGCTCGGGACAGACGCTGGAAGCCTGCCCACTGCCTCCACCTTTCTCTGGGTCTAACTCCAACTTGCCCACATCCCTCCTCATCCCCCCACCCCTCCCTCTGCCAGCCTGGCCAGACTGCGCACCCCTTGCCTCCACTGAGCAAGCCCCACTGCACACAAAGCAGCCGGAGGAACTTCTCAGGAAATCAGATCCCACCCTTGCCGTCTTAGGACACAGTCGCCAAAGCCTCAGGGACCCTGTGCACCGGCCCCAGGTCCACCTGGGCCCAGACATCCACCTGCGTCACCTTCAGTAGAACCGGTGGGCCCCTTGTTCCCATCCCTCACTGTGGCCTCGGTTTCTCCCTCCTTGGGGAGGGGAGGGTGCCCCCAAAGGATGGGCTGGGAGGACATGTAGCTGGGAGGCACGGCCCAGCAAAGGAAGCCAGCCACGTGGCCGCTCAGTGGGCCTGCAGCTTCCTGAGGTTCCAGCGGCCGGGGAGAGGCACCGGGGGCCTTAGGGGTGTCCTGAAGGGGGCAGATGTCTCTCAGTGCAGAGCAGGCTCAGCAGAGGGAGTGGACTTATCTTGGGAAGGCTGTAAGCTGAGGAGCCCGGGTGGGCCTCAAAGCCTTTTGCCCAATGGGTGTTTGTGGTTTCCTGGCTGCCAGGAAGGTAGTGGGAGACCAGGGGCTGCCTTGCCCTTCAAGAGCCCCACAGCCTCAGCCTGGAATTCGGCCCCCTCCCTGTCCCTAGCAGTTTGGCTGCATCTCCTTGGGCACACCAGGGGCTGCTCAGGAGAAAAGTGGATCAAGAAACTCCTGCTCATGCTCCCCCTGCCCACTCATGCCCAGGCCCAGGCTGGCAGACTCCCGGCTGTGCAGTCACAGGGACGGGGGGGCCAGGGAGTGCTGATGGTGGGCCGCCAGGCACAGGCCTGAGGCTGCCCAGAACATTGACACCAGAGTCCACAGAGCTGCCTCTTTGGAGGGGGACGCTGGGGTTTCCTGGGCCCAGAGGGGCTGGGATAGGAGCCCGTGTAGGGCCTGAGCTGCCCCTTCTGAGCCCAGAGCCAGGCGTTGGGTCTTGGAGCTGGGATGTGCCAGTGTCCACTGTGCAAAGGGGCAGCCTGCCAGGCCCACACAGAGGTGGGCAGCGCCAATGCGCCCAAGTCCAGGGTCTCCTGGAAGAAGAGATGGGGCGTGTGGGAAGCCTGGCTGAGGAGGGGTGAGGGCCAGACAGGAGAGGCAGGGCGCCTCCCCCACAGTACCCGGCACTGCTCTGGGCAGCGGGGAAAGGGTCTGAGCCCCACCGAGGGACAGAGGAGCTGGGCACGTTGCTGAGCACGTCCTCCCCTCCCCTCCCTCCCTCCCTTGGGCTTCCTTAGCCCCCGCGGCCCGCATGGCCATCTGGCTCCACCAGCAACACACCCCTTACTCCCTCCCCCAATCAGTGTTTTCCTTCCCCTGCTCCCCCGGGCCCTGCCCAGGAGGACGGGGTAGCCTCCGACACGTATCCTCTTTCCCTTTTGTTTCTGAGCCCTCACCACACGGGCCCGGAGGAAATGTGCATGTGCATATTTTTGCCTGCGCTGTTTGCATGCATGTGTGTGTGTGTACACGTGCGGGCCCTGCCCTGCCTGTGTGTGTGTGTGTGTGTTATGTGCGCATATATAGGGTGTCCCAAAATTCACGCAAGATTTGAATTTTGCATGAGCATTAACAACAACAACAACAACAAAAAATAAAAGCTTAATTTTTCTTGGTTTATTGAATCAGATTCTGATATCTGTTGCCCTTTGATTTCAATCCCTTCAATTTGATAAGCATTACCAAGTACCAATGATGGCCCAGGAGCAGGGACAATGAAGACCATGGCTTTGCGTATGTGCCAGCAAAGCCGTGGAGGCCATTTACCCAATGTGCTATTCCATACATAACCCTATACTTTGTACTTTATGAATCAATAAAAAATGTACAATTTTTAATTATAAACCTGTGTTTTCTATCAAAATTACTTCTTGCGTGAATTTTGGGACACCCTATATATGTACAGGGCCAGGCAGAACCACCTGGGCCTGTGTCTGGGTGTGCCATGGTGAAAGGGCGGGCATCCTGGGCACATGCTTGTGCAGGTGTGACTGCAGGTAGGGTGTGACCAGGAGCAGTGGTGTGAGGGGGCAGGGACCCCATGCGGCAAATGTCTCCACAAAGGCAGCGACGTCCAGCTCCCCCTAAATGCCGTTATCAGCTCAGCGTGGCTGGGGGTGGGCCAAGGCACCAGGCGTCTCTAGTGGTCACCATGGCTGCTGGGCTGAGGTGGTCTGAGCGGCCCACATACCAGGCTGCACCCCTCGTGTGGATGGAAACTCCTCCGTCTTGGGGCGTCTGTGTGGCTGTGACCAGGGCAGGACTACGCCTCCAGGGCCCTCCCCGTCTCTCACTGCCCACAGCACTCCCACTCTGAGGGGCCACAGCTTAAAAAAGAGCTCTTTATTCCACATTGCCCAATATTTTTACACAAGTAAAATAAAATGCATTTTTTCTGTATATCGCGGGCCGGCGGGAGGCAGTGTTCTGGAACAAACACTGCCGCTGCTCCCTGTAAACATGATGGAGTGGAGATGGGGGGTGGGGTGGGAGGCGTCCATCAGGGAGGGCCTGGCTCCCGGTGCTGGCTGGCAGCATGGAGGGGACCCCGTATGTACACACACCTGGCTACTGAGGAAGGCCTTGCTCTCAGTCGGGGGCTGGTCAGCAGGGCCTGAGCACGGTCCACAGCACCAGCGCCAGGCCAAGGGGGGCGAGGCTGCAGGCGAGGCCGGGAAGGGCACCTGAGCCCTCTGCATCTCCAGCGCCACTGCCCCCGCTGCCCGCCTGGCCCAGCCGGCACTGGCTGCGGGTGCGGTTCTTTCGGGAACAGCCTGGCCTCCGGCGAGGCCCCACGGTGGGCGGGCCTGGTGGCTCAGAGCCCTGGGGCCGCAGTCCGGTGAGAGGGGGCTCGGCCGAGCCAGGCAGGGTCCCAAAGGGGGAGTCGTTGATGTGCCTCGGGCCAGAGGTGTTGCCTGCGGGGCTGTCACCGGGCGGCACACGTCCCTTGAGTGCATTGCCAGCCGAGGCCGGACTACCGGCCTCCAGCACCGAGGCCTTGTCCGCGGCGTCCGGCTGGCAGCACTTGGGGAGCCCCAGCAGCTGCTCGTCGGCCGGCCCGCCAGTCCAGATAGCACGGGAGGGCCCAGCGGCCGTGGCGCAGCCTTCTAGGTCAGTGGCCGCCAGGCGCTTGAGGTCTCGACCAGCCAGGCGGCGGGGCAGGCTGCAGGGCAGCTCGGACGAGGAGCCGCGGAACTGCTGCAGCCAGGCCCAGAGCGGGCGCGCCCGGCAGTCGCACACCCAGGGGTTGTCGTTGAGCCGCAGGTACTGCAGGGCACGCAGGGGTGCCAGGGCCTCCGCGGGCAGTGCCGAGAGGTTGTTGGCGAACAGGTAGAGCGTCATGAGGCGGCCAAGGTCGCGGAAGGCGTGCGGGTGCACGCGGGCCACTCGGTTCTGGTGCAGCAGGAGGCGGTCGAGGCTGTGCAGGCCGCGGAAGGCGCGCTCGGGCACGCTGGGGATGTGGTTGCCATGCAGGAAGAGGTGCGTGAGGTTGCCCAGGTCTCGGAAGGCGTCGTCAGGCAGCGCCTGCAGCCCGTTGTCCTGCAGGTAGAGGTACTGCAGGGCGGCCAGGCCACGGAACAGGCCGGGGCCCAGCTCCTGCAGGCCGCAGCGGTCCAGGTGCAGCGTGTGCAGGCGGCCCAGGCCGCGGAAGGTGGTGGGGTCCACGGCGCGCAGCTGCGCGTTGTCGCTGAGGTCCAGCTGCTCCAGGAGGGCCAGGCCGGCGAAGGCGGTGGCGTCGATGTGGGTCAGCGCGTTCGAGTGCAGCCACAAGATGGTGAGGTTGCGGCAGGCACGAAAAGCGGTGGCCGGCACGTGTGTGATGCGGTTGCCATGCAGGAAGATGCGCTGGCTGGCCACGGGGATGTCGGCGGGCACGGCCTGGAGGCCCTGCTGGGGGCAGCCTGTTGTGACCTTGGGCTCGTTGTAGCACACGCAGGCTCCTGGGCACGGAGCCGCCGCCCGCCACACCTGCAGCCACAGCACCCAGGCCAGCAGCCGGCTCCCTGTGGGCAGAGGAGAGGGCGGTTAGCTGGCAGGGAGCCCTGTGTGGGTAGGGGTTGTGCGGGAGCCAGGCTGCCCCAGGACATGCTGTCACCCCGGGGAACTCAGGTTTCCTGCTGTACCTGTCACGTGGAACCTGCTAGGGCAGTGGTTGGCAAACTGCGGCTCTTTGGCCCCTTGAGTGTGGCTCTTCCTAAGCCTTAGGAGTCCCCTAATTAAGTGAATAACAATGTACCTACCTATAGAGTTTAAGTTTAAAACATTTGGCTCTCAAAAGAAATTTCAGTCGTCGTACTGTTGATATTTGGCTCTGTTGACTAACGAGTTGGCCGACCACTGGACTAGGGGATCATACGTTCCCTGGAAGAGGCTAAGGCCTCGGAGCTGGAGGCCAGTATTCCAACCTCGGTCAGCAATGTGCTCCACGAGCATGTGCCATCCACTGACAGCCCTCCAGGCAACATCTGGCCGGAGGCACATCAGCGACTCCCTGTTTGGGACCCTGCCCGGCTTGGCTGAGTCCCTGCTGACGGCACTGCGTCCAAGCCACCAGGGCTCCAGGCCACCAGGGCCCCAGGCCACCAGGGCTCCAGGCCACCAGGGCCCCAGGCCACCAGGGCTCCAGGCCACCAGGGCCCCAGGCCACCAGGGCTCCAGGCCACCAGGGCCCTAGGCCACCAGGGCTCCAGGCCACCAGGGCCCCAGACCACCAGGGCTCCAGGCCACCAGGACCCTCTGCCACAGGCCCTCACATGCCACCTTGGGCTTAGCCAGGTCCTGGCTGGGGCCCCCTTGCAGGCCTCCCAAGATGGACACGCCCCTGCAGATACCATCTCGGGCTCCAGCAAACGCTGGGCTTTCTTGCTGTCCCTGTGGGTCCCAGCCCTGTCCCCTGCCCCACAGGCCACAGGCCAGGCTGGGGGACAGGCTCTGGCAAACACTCGAGGGCCGGACTGGCAGTCCTTCCGAGGAGCCCTGAGCTGAGGCTCATGCTCAGGCCTGCCAGGCAGTCTGCTGCTGGGCCCTCTTAGGCTACAGGAGGGGCAGGGCTGTGGCTCAGACTCTGTGCCCCGCCCAGGCTCCTGGAGACACTGAGGCCCAGGGCTGCCCCAATTCGGAGGAGGCCTCCCGCCACAGGGAGCTGTGCTTAATGAGGAAACTGCAGGCACCGGGCGGAGCCCCCAGCGGTCCTCCTGCAGGGGCCCGGGGTTCCACCAACTGGGTCCCAGCAACCCTATCACAGGATCCGGAGACTGGACGCCTGAGGGCAGGTGGGTCCAGGGCTCAGAAGGGCGAGCCCCCTCCAGGCAGGCTGCTCCCTCCTCGACACTCCCAGCGGCTTGGAGAGCTTCCTGCCTTGGCGTGGAACACCTGCAGTCTCCTCTCTCAGCCTCATCTGCCGCCTGCTCTCCTCCCCAGGTGAGCAGCTCACTCCTGCCCAGCCCAACAATCCTTGCACAACCCCAACTGCCCGCAACCCTCCTGCCCAGACACATGCTCAGCGAGATCTACTCCAGCCCCAGGGGGCTACACCCCCATTCTTCCTCCCCCATTGAGGGGCCAGACACACCTGGGGCCTCACCTGTGACCTACACTAGGCAGGAGACCCCTCCAGGGGCGATGCATCCAGCCCTGGTCTCGCCAGTTAAGCGCAATGCCTATCATCCCGCCATCAGCGCTCCCCTCTTTGAATGCTGAAGGTCCTCTCTGCCTTCAGGAGTGAGTCTATTAAAATGTGACCCCCCCTGGGAGGGTTAGGGCTTATCAGCTAACATGTGAGTTATCAGCTAACACCTGCACTGACAGCGAACACCTTCCTTGGCAGCTAGCTAAGCACAGGATTCTGCAGACACGAGCAGGGCTAAGTGCTGGGGCTGGAGCCAGGAGGGAGGAAGGAGAGGACCATAGGCTAGCTTCCCCCACCCCGAACCATGACCTTGGGGCCCCCCACCCCTGCTGGGTCCTCTCTGCCTGGGCTGGTCCAGACACTCATCTGAAGCTCAGAGCCTCAGCCAACTGGCATGTACAGTGGTCACCAGGGATGTGCCTTCCTGGGCTCTGGTCCCCAGGTCCTGGATGCCCCCTCCCCACAGTCGGGGGACCTCCTCTGTCCCCTGTCAGCTGCTGGGGACCTGGCAGCCTCAGGATGGGGATCCAAAGAAGCAGGCCTGGCCCAGGACCCCACCCCCACCCCAAGCCCTGGGCACCCCTCCTGGCTGGCCATGGGCTGGAGGCGGAGGGGCACCCTGACTGTTGTCTATTTGCACAGCTGACACCCCCTCCGGCTCTCCTCGCAGAGTCTCCTGGGGAAGTCAGGCCTCGTGATGCCAGCTCCCACCAGCATCTCACCTGCTGTCACGGGATGTAACTGTGCTAGGAAAACACACTTCCTGTTTCTGAGACCTCGGTGGAAGAGCAAGACCTGGGTGGGGGGAGGGGGGTGCAGGTACTCACCAACCGGGCCAGGCTCTGCACCTCCCTCAGCACCGAGGGCAGGCCTCATCGTGACCGTGCCATGCCGCCAGCCGCACATGCCACAGACCAGGCTGCACGCCGACCCGCTCTGTCACCAGCCACCCGTCATGACCACGCCTGCCACATCACCTGCCCAGTGCCGTGGCTCCCAGGCCTGCAGCTATGGTTTGTGAACTTGGTTGGTGTCAGGTTTAGCTGACCTCCCCAGCATGGGGGCCGGCCGCTCTGGCCTCCAGCCCTCGCCTCCAGCCCTCGCCCGTCTGGGCCCCCAGGAGACTTGAGCTTGGGGCTATATCCGCTCTAAGAATGCTCTGAGCAAGGTTCCCGGGCTTGGCTGCCCCGCCCTGGGAGTGGTTGGCAGAGCGGCCAAGTGGCCCAGCCCTGCCAGGAAGCGGGCATCAGGCACAAAGACGCGGCTCCATTCTCGCTGAGCCAATTGCTTTCCAGAAACCAACTTCTGAGGCTCAGTCCTTCTGCACAGACCCTGCTGTCAGCGCTGGAGCGGGTGGTGGGCTCTCTCCTCGCAGCAGCTACAGTAATTGGCTCCAACCCGGCCCCCCTTGGGGCCTGCCCGCTGGTCTCCATGGCAACCCCTCTGCTGAGCAAGCATAAGGGGGCATCTTTTTATGAGATAATCAAACCCAACTTTGCAGTGTGGGTTCATCTTCCCAGCAGGGGGTGGGGGGATACCGGAGACCAAGCGGGGAAATGGGAGGGCATCTCCTGACCCCACCCCAGGGACTGGACCCAGTCACTCACCTGACCCCTCCCACACCCACGGTGGACTGCCACCCTGAGAAGGCCTCCCCATCCCATCCGTCTCCTGTCCCCCCATCCCATCCTTCCACCTGTCCCCTCAGCCTCTCCCTCCATCCTGTCCTCCGTCTTCCCTGGCCTCTGCAGCCCCCTGCGCCAGGCCTTTCTGGCCTCTAGGTCTGCCCTCTCGCTGGTCCCATCTGCCCATCAGAGGCCCCAGGCTGCACCCTGTCCCACCTGCCCACCGGCTGCAGCCTGGTCGCCTGCCTGCCCTCAGCCTCATCTCCCATTTGTGCCAGCCTCACTGGGTCCTGGTCCTCAGTGAGCACCCAGTGCCAGTGTCCCTCCAGGCACGTGTGGTGAGAGAACAGCCCTGCTGCGCTCTGGCTCACACACACGGGAACCACGGCGATAACAGGAAACCAGATGACAACACGCCCCTCCAAAGCCCCTGTGGCCGTCATGACCCCACACCAGGCTGCCAGGCCCCCTGAGCCACCCACAAACCCAAACCAGTCCCTCAGGCCTCCAGGCCCCCTGAGCTACGTGCAAACCCAAACCATCCCTCTCCCGCCATCCCTCAAGCCTATTCTCTTTCCTCAGGCCTCAGCGCAGCGCCCTCCACGTGGAGCGGCTCCTGCCTTAGCCCAGGTCTGGCTCAGAAGCAGTGGGCACAGGGCATGGTTGGGGGAGGACTGGCCACTCCTGCCTGGGGCAGGGGTAAGACAGTGACCGGATTCTAGATAGGACCCCTTCTGTCAGGGCAACCAAACTGGAGCTGGAATGACAGCTGAGGAGGCCATGGATCCAACGGCCCCAGAGCCTGGGAGGCATCAGGCCTGGGCGTGGCCCTGCAGGACACGCGCACAGTTCACCCTGGTACGGCGCCTGCTCAGCAAACGTTCCCCTTCATGTTGGGACAGGGGGACAGGGAACCTGGAGAGGTACAGGGAGGGGAGAGGAGGGAGGTGGAAAGAGGAGGAATAGGGAGGGAAAGGGAGGGGAGCCAGGAGGGGTAGGAAAATCCGGGGACTCACCACCAGCCGCAGGGCAGCAGGCAGTGGGCAGGTGGCTGCTGAGATCAGCAGCTCAGGAGTAGGATGGCCAGCCAGGGGGCTCTGGTGTGTATCCTGGCCCCCGCAACTCCAGGGTCCCCCAGCCTGGGCTGAGGTACGCAGGGGTGCAGCTCCCCTGAGGTCCCATGGGGATGCCTTTGCCCCCACCCAGTGAGGCTACAGAGAGAGCCCAGGGCTGGCGGCCTTGGAGTCCCAGAACATTGGTTCAGTGCCCCCCCCATGCCCGCATCCCCGCACCCCTCCCCCCCCTCCCCGTTTCAATGGTTCCACACTGCAATGGGGTGGCAGAAACTCCCACCTCAGGGGCTGTTATGAAGGTCCGGCAGCTGGTATAAAAGGTGTGAGTCAGAGCCGCATAAGAATCAGTTTTCTTTTCAGTATCATGAGCCCATTTCACAGATTAGGAAACAGAGGCAGCAAGTAGTTAAGACCTAGAGAAAGTCTACAGTGGTTCTCAACTTTCTGGCCCTTTAAATACAGTTCCTCATGTTGTGACCCAACCATAAAATCATTTTCGTTGCTACTTCCTAACTGTCATGTTGCTACTGCTATGAATTGCCATGTAAATATCTGATAGGCAGGATGGTTTTAGGCGACCCCTGTGAAAGGGTCGTTCGACCGCCAAAGGGGTCGCGACCCACAGGCTGAGAACCGCTGAGGAAAGGTGGGAGAGTGAAGGAGCTGCAGCGCGTCCA